AATCAATCAATATAAATTTTAGATTAATATACTTCTAAAACCAATTTGTTAAGTGTTATTGCATGTGATGGCGAATTTTCCTAAATTAATTAACTAGCTTTCTCAAGTCAAGTTAATCCTTCACTTATTTATTAAATTAATCATATTTCTATATAATTTTAAACAAACTTATGAGCATTAAAATCTATGGAAACCTCTAGCTTAAGAAGGGGGAGCTACTAACTCTCTTCTCTTCCTTCACTACCACATGTGAGCTAATTACCTCTCGATCTCATAGTTTAGCACACAGTTTATATTATTATTAGTCTAATCTATGCAATTCTTTTTCAAGTTCATGCATAAATCACTAAATCAATTGAAAGTTAATCAAACTTCCAATGCATTAAGTTCAATAATATAAACTCCTCATGCAAATAACTTTAATTAAAAGCATAAAATCATTAAATCCATATTGAATTGATTAGGTTACATCGTAACCCTAGTAAAATAAATCAGTTCATAATAAAAAAAATAAAATATGAAATCAAAGTTATGAACATTCAAATATCAAACAATAGATAAAAACCCAAGGAAAAACAAAATCCAATTTGAGGAAATCGAACTCCTTGATCTTGAGTTCTTCTATTGTTGATGGAACCTCAATCTTGATCTCCAATAATGCCCAAAAGAGGGCTGCCACTAGCCTCTCAAAACTCTCTATTAAATTCTGAATTTGAATGGATATTTATAAGGTTTTAGAAACCCTAATTAGAATAGAAGTAGGATTTGAAACAAAATAGGAAACTGGACGCCGAACGCATGATGCTGACACTTTGGATTACGTGTTGACACAAAATAGAAAACAGAATTTGACTTTGGACATTTAATGCATGGTGTCGACACCCCGATCATGTGTTGACACTACACCCGTGTCGGGTTTCTGGTCTCTTTTTGCAATTTATTCAATGGTAAAATATCAGATTTGGTTCCTGACTTCTGGATTCTGCACAAGTTGATCCTCAAGTCTTTGATCTCTTCAATGTACTTCTAAAAAGTAAGATTTCTTCCAATTAAATCCTTTCCTACACAACGAATGAAAGCCATGTAAAATCAAACAAAATCTTATAAAACTCATCCAAATATCAATAATATCAAAGTAAAAATTCCCTATTAATATGTATATAAATTTAGCTCATCAAATTCCCTCGAACTTAAGTTTTACTCATTCTCGAGTAAAATAAATAAAATAAATAAAAAAAAGAACAAAAATAAAATCTAACTCACTTTCGTAAAAATCACGATTGCACTTAACATGTGCAACAAGCCTTTAAACCCCTAGGTCACCCTAGTGGACGAGTTGTGTCTTGTGAGGGTTTGCAGCGGATCTACCCACAAAATCCCAATGCAAAAAATGCAACTATATGATTTGTATGCAACTAAAGTTCAATTAGAGGCAAAGTCTCAAATATTCAAAAGTTTTCATATGCTCACTTAAAGTAAAATACTCCATCTTATTCTTCACACCACTTGTTAAAAGATTTAACCCATGAGCACTTAATGTGTGTGTGGAAATTCATAGTAAGAAGT